ACATAGCTCTACCACCTGCGTTAAATGGTTCCCATAGAAACACCAAGTACACAGAATAATCTTAATAAAAGTCTTTTGAGTTGATTTAAGATAGTTTCTAGCCCACCAGGAGTCAACATTTCCGTAGATGTTGTCTTGCCAATGGGTTTCAGCTTCAGGCAAGTTCACCGTGGAATCAATGTGACCAAAGAAACGACAGTAGAATGTTCTTGGGGTGGAAGGGTTATACCCAACTTTATTTCCACGGTGGCAGGTCAATCACTAAAATGGCAGTCACTCAGAGCGAGTCTGCATGCAGCAAGCCAGTCTCTGCCTCTGGGCCTCTCTGCCTGCACGGCCATCCTCTGGGCCTCTGTCCTCGGTGCTGCCACCACTCCAGGCTTTGCTGTGCTCTCCTGCAGCAGTGCCACCTTGTCGCCCAGAGCACTGGGTGGAGCTCTTTATATAGAGGCAATAATGACATATTGCCCACACATGTGCAGTGAGCTAGTCAACCAGGGCCAGGTGAGAATCCTGACCACAGGAACCTTCATTTTATCCATAGATGTTCTAGACAAAGCATATCTTAAAACCTTGATGCCATATTCTTCTTTTCCCCTGCACTATCAGTTTATTACATTTAGTGGATCAATGCCAAAACACATCCTAAAGTAGTACTAAAAAGCATTGAAGGATACAAAATCCACAATGAGGAGATGGTAAGCTTACCCTGGTAGTGTGATCACTTGTCTCCTAAATCCTATTTGAAATTCTGGTTATCATTTAAGACTTAACCTGAGAGCCAATTCTCCATAAAAATTTCCCTTATTACCCTGCTTTTAATGTATCACCCTCACAGTAATTTGTTTATACATCGTTTCTGGCATTTGTCATTTCATGAGTTTTGTTTTATTATTGCTTTCTGTTGTTAACTAATTTGTAAACACTTTGAAACAAGAATCCAATTTCGCGCATTTTGGTATCTCTTAGGTCAGGCTATCTAGAAAAAGAGACTAAAAAGATCCAGGTTCTCGTTAAACGGGAAACTGAATGAGTACTCTTTGATGAACCAATAAAGGAAGAAAACAGGATAACAGAAAGAGAAGCTAGATAGAGAAGTGGGTTTAGTTGAAGTCGTACGTCAGCCTGATTCCAGGGAGAACTTTGGAGCAGGAAAAGCCTGGGAGATCATCCCATCTTGAGATAAGGGAGCCTCCTGTCGCCCCATTCATTTAGTCACTGATTAATCAGTGAGTCAGGCTTCCACCAGGAAGAAGTTTTAACCAATCAGGCATAAATCCTTGGCTGAGAGTGATTTTCAGGAGAAAGATGCAGCTGTAGGCTTTTAGAAGCCACTACAGCAGCTGGGGGGTGGGCACCCCAAGCAGGCCAAGGGAATCTGGGCTGAACACCAGCAAGCCTGCCAAGTTTCTCTCCAGAACCATGCACGGCATCTTACACATATCAGGATATGGTAAATGTCCACTGATCTTCACTACTTAGAGTTTGACCAAAAGTGCAACAAATTTCTTATTACTTGGCTATCACTTACTTTGCTCTTACAGTTATGCAGCCAATGGTGGCATTAATTGGATTTGTCACTTGGTAGTAGATTAATAGAAAGAATGCAAGCATCATTAGAATGTCATAAAACTCTCTCTCTTAAAATCATCTATAGAAGTAACTCTATAATATTTTTAGCCTATGATTTCTTTGGCTTTTATTCAATATAGCAAAAGTGTGATTTACATGGATCTGCTGTTAAGAAAGTGAACAAAAGAAAATGTGGAGATGAAAAGAGAGCCACCCCCAAAAATCTCTTTAATTTTTTGGGAATCTTCCAACTGAGGGCCTATTGCCCAAACTTTAAGCAATTTTAGCATTTTAATATAGTGTAAAGCTCTCTGAAAAGCTGCATGGGGAATTTGAAGAGATTTGTTTGTGAGCCATTTGACAGAGGTTGCTGACATGATGGCCTGTCACCCTGAAAATTATGTGTGTTTACTACAAGGAAGAACAATCTGCTATGTAATAACCACAATACAACAACCAAAATCAGGCTAAAAACAAACACATTGCTATGATCGAAACCTTAGAACCCATTCAAGTTTCAACAGTTGTCCTGATGATATCTTTGTCAGCAGTAAGAATTCAGGTAGAATCACATACTGCCTTTAGTTATCATGTCTCTTTAGTCCTCTTCAGTCTAGAATGTTTTCCTTTGAAGGCTTATAGCAGCATCATTTACAAGTGCCAAGACATGGAAACAATCTAATTGTCCACTGATGGGTGAATGGATAAAGAAGGCATGGTATATACATACAATGAAATATTATTTAGCCATAAAAAATGAGGAAGTCCTATCATGTGTGCCAACATGGGTGGACTTTGAAGGCTAAGTGAAATAAGTCAGACAGACAAAGACAAATACTACATGATCTCACTTACATGGAATCTAAAGCAAACCAAAACAAAAATAAAACCCAAACTTACAGAAAAAGAGATCAGAGCAGAGGTGGAGGGTAGTGGCAGGGGAAATTGGAAGAAGGTAGTCAAAGGTACTAACTTCCAGGTAAATATAAGATAAATAAGTGCTAGGGATGTGATGTACAGCATGCTGACTAGAGTTATCGCTGCTGCATGACGTGTAGGCAGGATGTTGAAAAAGTAAATCCTAAGAGTTCTCATCAGTAGGAGAAATTTTTTCCTCTTTAAAATTTTCTTTGTATCGTATCTATATGAGATGGACGTTTGCTGGACCTATTGGGGTAATTATTTCACAGTACATGTAAATGAAACTATCGTGCTGTATTCCTCAGATTTATGCAGTGAGATATTTCAGTAGGTCTCAGTAAAACTCGGGAAAAAATAAAGGCCAAGATCTGGGGACCATGTGTGCTTGTTCTTGCGATGTCACCACTCCTATGTCCTCCCAGTGACAGACCTAGGGAGAGCACGCATGTGCGTGTGCATGTGCGTGCGTGTGTGTGTGTGTCTGCGGGTTCACACTGCTCCTTTCAATGTCAAACTACCACCACAGAATACATTCTGGTTTTCTTCATTCCCATGTTTGGGACTCCATTCTCAGTGAGGAATCTGGCTCCCATTATATTCAATATATTTATTTACTTGATCAGTCTCCTAGTATATAACCAATCTGCTTTGCCTGTGCCGCCTTCTGCCTCCACCTGGAGGCCCTCCTGACCCTGCTCAAGCCCCGATGTCCTACTGTGATTTATGGTGGCTCTGTGATCACCCCTACCCCCACCCATCTGTCAGTGCCCCAGCTAACGGCTTTAGAATCAAATAGTTTGCGAAGTAAAAGGAGGGGAGGGGGAAAAGAAGAAGAAATTTTATGAAGGCTTTCAATATTAGAAAAAAACTTTATGTCTAAAATTTCATCTTTAAGAAGAAAAGAAATGTGTGCATATGTATACATGAAGAGAGAGTAAACTTTTATGTTGGTATTTTTATTATCAAAAAAGTAACGTGAAAGTGGTCAGATTGTGGGTCGGTGAAGTATAGTAGGATCCCTGTCCTGGGCATGAATACCAAGCATATTAGAAAGGGGTGCTTATGTCAAAAAAGGCAAAGATCTAAGCCCAAATTATTGGGCATGTTCACTAAGAGTCACTTACCAGTCATTCACTGAGACAGAGAAAGAATGAAAAAGTTATACATTTAATTTATAATTTAATCAAAATGTGTATTTTTATAAAATCGGAACTCCAGCAAATTCATCAGTGAATAAATTGGTAATGCTGCGTTAGACAAGGAGCCTCTGTTTACTGTAGTTAAGGAACAAAAAGCATGTGAACAAATGGAAACCAAGGGCCCTAGAACGTTCCAGCTTTATAATCACTGGGCTTTCACATGTTCCTCTAATCTGTTCCTCGGCAGCACTGTAGCCTGTTATATAAAGGCATTGAGGGCAAGGGCATAGGGCAGCTCAGACATCAACTCGACTAATCTTGAGCAAGGCTCACCCTCTCTGGTCTTGTTATTTCATAGGGGTGCTTTGCAGGACAAATTAAATATAAACAGTATCGCCATGTTTTGAACACATAAGTGAAAATCAATTTTTTATACCTTCTACTTCTGTACTTTCCCTGTTCCTGGAATATGGTTGGTGCTCTAGCTCAGAGCATTTGCATTTGCAATTCCTTCTGCCAGGGATGCTCTTCTCTTAAATACCCATGGGTCCTGCACCCTCAGTTCCTTCACGTCTTCACTCTGATTTCACATCTCATTATGATCTCCAGGACCCCATTTTAAGCCATACACCCCCAACCCATCCCATCTCCTCCCTTGCCTTAATTTTCTCCTTAGCACTCCTCACAAACACTCTAGAAATCTGTCTTGTTTATTGTTGGTCACCTCCACTAAAATGTACGGCCCTGGAGGGCAGGCACTGTTGCCAGTTCTGCCCACCGCTACACCCCAGATCCTGCTGCATGCCTGGTGGCCTGTGGTGGACACTCATTTGTCTTATGGTATGGTATATTCAACCAAGTGCCATATTCTTGATGCCAAGTGAAGTTTCAAGCATTCCCTTCTTCTTTATCATTGTTTTTTTTCTTCCCTCACAGGTAGAAATGTGAATGAAAGCTAAAAGAAAAAAAGACAAATGAATAGAGAGCTTAAAGAAAGGTAATTCAAAGAAAGAAGAATGAGGAGGCCCTTCATTTGGAACACCAGCCCTGAACCTAAGAAGTTCAACAGTAACTAAAACCACAGTCATGCCATACAGGCTGTCCCGATCAAAGGCTCGCAGATGGAGCCCAGGCCACTCTTCTGGACTGTTCTCTGAGGCCAACTGCTCTCTGGTGGATAAACAGTATGGGATAATATCAGCAAAGTAAAATGTAACTACAGGTGGTTATATATTTTTTCTACTTGCTGAATAAATAAAAGCCATTTGCTGAACCAATTATATATACCTTCTCCTTTAAGAAAAATAACTATGATTTAAAATGATAAATTTCACATTTGAGTTTAGGATGAACAACTTTTGTATTTGAAAGCCATGAATCTGAGAATCTTTCACAGCTACAGTCCAGTATCTCCTTAAAAAGAATTTAAAAAATCAGTTATCTCATGCTAATTTGCATACAGATGTATTTATTTCATATAGGTATATATTCATATATAAATAAAAAATAGTGTTGTCCAGTCAGTAAATAACATTCACACACAACTAAAAGCCTTACTTTTTGAGATTGAACTCTTAAATATCTAAAAAGAGACCACATTTAAAAAAAGAGGACACATAAAATAGTTGGTGAGGAATGTCTAAAAATATAGTATATGTCCCTATACTTGCATTAGGAAATTTATACTGACAAAATATATCTGAGTATATTTTTACATAGCATCATCTGTCAACTTCACAAACTTATGAAGGTATTATTTTCATGCAGCTAAGTAGCTGCAACTTTGAGCAATAAGCCAGTCTCTTGGGATCAGTACTAATATCTGTACTGTCTTTTAAAATCCAGTTATCACAGACTTTCAAACTGCCTCAGGATCAGAAGTCACTGGCCTTTCCAATACACAAACTATGCTGTGGGTTTGCTTAGAAACTCCTTGTTGAAGAATCTTCTTGCCTCAACATTACTGAGAGAAACAGAGCAACGAGACGGGTTCTGTCTTCTGTATTCGATGCTTTCGACTATGGCCTTCTTTATCACCTGCAAATAGAGGCAAACGATTTATCATGAGTAGTGCTCTGGACTCACTTAAATATCTGTTTGGTCAAAGTAAATCCAATTAATCTTTTCTTTATAGCGTCCTTTTTCAAATAGAGATCTCTGAGTTACGCATGCATATATTTAAATTCAACAATCCATCATTATACTCTTGTGAAGCTCATCTCCAGATATAAGAGTGTTGCAGATTTTGTGCTGATAATACTGGGATAATATTGGTACCATGGTAACTCTATCTTCATTCTGTCTTTCATTGGGAAGGTGGTGAAAAGGGGGAAGAAACAATTACTAAATCTAGAATTGGTATTTTTTATAGTTAGTGGACAAGTGGAAGTAAGGGGCCACAAGGAAATAAAGGACTTCCCCTAAGCCTAATACGGAGTGGCTTGCTGAAGATTTGCCCTGCCTCGTCAGCTAAACAAACACAGCTATAAAACATAGACAGCCTCCATCTAGAAAACACTATGCTTTGTGATTTTATTGATGACAGCTCTTTATTATTCAGAATAATCTTTATATATGCCCAAGGTAATGGTAGATTATAACTTTTAAGAATTGCTGTTATAATTATCATATTCTTTCCTGGTTTGGAAGTTTTGGAAAGAAGAGAAAATCCAGAATTCAGTTGAAGTAGTTAGGGCACAGCAATGGGAATGTGCTTTGGAAAAGAGGCCTGGACCGTAATCCCGGCTCTGCTGTTATTTTGGAGCCCTGTTAAAATCAGCAAGACTCCATTCCCCAGGACAGGGCCACAGGGGTTCATCTTAATGACTAATGAGGCGGACACTTGAGGGCCCAGAAGCTATCTCAGGAATATTCTGCAATTCCCTTTACTCTCTACCCCACCGATTGTTAAACAACATCAAGGTATTAGCCACAGGCTTTTCAGCCCTCCGCCATGGTATGAATACTTAGCAAGTCTGAGCAGTTCAGGACCTCCAGGTCCTCCCCACCCAGAGCTGGTGGGGCCCCCATGGCCTTGGAGGTGGGTGCACAGAGGGGTGCTCCCATGGCCACATCCAGTCTCACCCAGGATGCCTGCCTCAATCCCTGGAGGAGGCAGAGGTGTGACCTGGATGTTGCTAATATGCAATGAATATTCTGTGACTTTGTGTCAGGCCCAATAGGCAGGCCCTTCTATTCTCTAATAACTCCAAACAACAGGCAGTTATTTTCTAGAAAGAGGGAATTATCACAGGAAGGTGGCACCTTTATTTGCTTTGTGATTTTATATGTGTATAAGGTTGTCTTCTGGGAAAAATGTGCTCCAATGTTACTGAGTCTTTTGGTAAGTCAGTATTTGCTGACCACCTGTTTCCCATGAGTAAGGGAAACAATTCTAAGGTGACAGAGGAGGCTTCAGGCCTATGAACGAGATCTTGCCCAAGGGTCTTCCAGGCACAATCACTTCCTGGCTGTGTGAAGGGGAATTAGCTTAAATCCTTAGGCCTATTACCTTGTCTTTTTAAATGGGAATGATCATACTAATCTTGGCTTTTGTGGGAACTGGAGATCATTTATATAAATTATTTGCATAATGCCTGACACATAAGAAACTTTCCATAACTAACATGTATTTATTGCTGTTATTTTTAAACTGACCATTTGTGAGACTATTTAAAAATTTTAAATTAGATGTGAAGCTATAAACTTTACTAGATATAAACACACCGTATATAGCCAGTGGTGGGCTTCATTCCACCGTGCAAGCCAGCAAGCCAGCTCTGCTATGAAACGCGTCCTACTGCAGAATTTCTTGCGTATCTCGCCTTTCTAGAGATCATGTCTGCAAGCTTTCAGCTGTTTCACCAGCAGGAGACAGATCAACTCTCATTGCAGAGAAGTACCCAAGTAACATAAAAATCAACTCCTGACTCTCCAAATACCTAAAAAGCTTTAAAATACGAAAAGACCAGAGGGGAAATTGTACTGATAATGACTGCTGTCAATTCCTTTATAATGAACTCATGCGAACAAGAAAATCAGCAATATCAGTATCATGAGCTAGTAGATTTACCATCATTGGACCTTGGTAGGTGTTTCTAGCAAACAGGACAATTCTTAAAAAGGAAATGAGTATTTACATCTAGGTCTGAAAAACCTAAATCATTTGCTCTTAGGATGTCCTGAATGTGTTACACCACTAGGTGGCATAGTGATACTATGCAACCATCAACCAGGTTTTTCAGCTTATTGCAGAAAGTACCCGTTTGTTGTGATTTATAATTCTGTGATATAAAAAGAGGCCCAACTCAGTACTACATTAGTTGCTAAACCCAAGTCTTCCAACATGATACATGATATGAGTAGATGTATCTAAAAAGACAATATATCATATTTGCATGTTTCTTTTTTTTATTATGAGTAATCTTAGTGTTTATATCTAATTTCCTCTTTCATTCTTCCCTGAAATTCATTTGAGTTTCAAAATCCTTCCCATGGGTGTTTGCTAGCATATCTCAACCTTCTCCAACCCTACCACCATCCCTAAATATGACTCATGTCAGCTTTTACTTGTGCTGTTCAGTAGCCTAATTGTTAACCCAGATTCTTCAAATCTTTGGCAATAAAGGCAGAGAATAAGAAAACATGTAAAATATGATCTTCCCTCAAGAATGAACAAATTTAGAGATGTGAGATTGGAAGCAATCACAAGCAAATATTGAATTCCCACAACAGAAAATTAAAAATGAGCCCAAAGAGGAAGTTCCATTCTGAGAGAGGAATTAAAAAAAAAAAGTATAGAAGAACACAAGAAGATATTCTGGTTGAAATTTGAATTTGCTAGCTAATGCCTACCTTCCCCATAAAAACTCAAGTGTCATGAGAGCAGGGACCTTCTTAGTCTTGTCATTTTTGATCCCAGCACTCAGAACACGTAAGTGGAACAATAAATATTTATAAAATTACTGAATGACAGAAGTGCTCATTGGAGATCGAATTAAACAGGATAAAATTCAACTCCTGAGGACAATGAAACTTGAGTTAAGCTGAAGGACAGGCAGGATTTTACAAGTGGAATGGGGGGACTCGGCACTCACAGTAGAAAGAGGATCTTATAAAAAGGCTGAAGATGGGAGGTCATGGCATGTGTAGGAAACATCTGGGAGTTACTTGGCTTGGCTGGAAAGGAAGCTGTGTTTAGAAAATACTAGGAAATAAGGCTGCAAGAGATAGAGGACTCAAAAGAGAAGAGAGTGAGAAAAGCCAGTGGCCCCATTTCAGCTCCTCACATAGCTGCGTGACTTCCAGGAATCTGCCTAAATTATCGGTTTCCTCACTGCAAATAAAAAGTACCTACCTCATAGGCTAGTTTTCAGTGTTGAATGTTTCAGGGGGACTATTTGGCTAATATTAAGCACATACAACTACCTTGTGCTTTTCGTTTTGTGCATTGCTGTATCCTTAGTTACTAAAACAGTATCTGATGCCCCACTCAGTACACACCTGTCAAATTAATGAAGAAATAAGATGGAAAGAGATTAAAGACAGCCTTAAAGGTAGATGGATTTGGACTTCATATATTAGGCCATGATATAGAAGCTTCTAAGTTATTTCTACAAAGATAAACATTTTAACTGTACCTAGACACTCTTCTCATGATGATAAAATAGCAATATGTTAAGAATTAAGTACCAGTACTTCTGGGTGTGTGCCCTTCCTCATTTTAATTAACACTGTAGTACTGTTTGAGAAAGAATTTTAAAAACTCATTAGTGTGCATTACTGGTGTATGCTTAATAAACTGACACATAACTGGTTTTTAGAATATACCTACTGAATTAATAAATTGAGTGGGTAAGATTTCCAAATAGTACCTTTTCCTGTGGTAGGTGAATCAACAAAGTCCTGGAAAAGAGCTCTCAGAAGGCATATTCCTTCCAGATCAAAGTGATAGTTTGTGAGCTGAACGTGTAGCCACACTCCCTGGCCAAACATACATTGTGTAGAGATTCTTCATGGCCAGGAACTGTGTTTCCAACCTACAAACCTTGCATCCTGACACTGGCTACCCCCCTCTCCTAGCACATGAAACTCTGCTACAGTTTTAGCCAGTAAGTCAATGACATTTTAAAAATCATTCATGAAAATTGTGTTGCATATGTACTTTAGGTGCCAGGCATTATGATCTGTATCTCTGTAAGATACAAGGCAAATGAGACAAGTCATTGTTTTCAAAGAGCTTACATTTCTAATTTAAAACAGATGATAATATGAACACCGATAATAATTATTATCATTATTATACTAGCTCCTTTCATTTATTGTTTCTTACACGTCAAGCACTGAATTTTATTATTTGACTTAGTCCTCATCCCTATCCTAGGCAATATGTATCATTGTCTCACCTTACAAATGAGTAAACTAAAATTTGGAAAGGTCAAGCAATTCACCCAGCCAAGAACAGCAAGGATTTGAACACTCAATTTGGTCTGACTCCAAACCTCTGTATTCCTCACATACCACATGTCTAACAGTGTAAGTATTACTACATGTTACATTTCTAAAAAAAAAACATGAAATACTGCCACTGTAAAAGCATTGAGGCAACGTTCAGTGAAAAGGAATTTGGAAGAACTGAGTAAGTGCAGAAACGACGCTACTGAGAAACCAGCCTGTTGTCACGAAGTGAGCAGAAACAGAGCAGAAGCTCTCTGAACAGGAACTGGAATTTAGCTTCAGCAAAGCAGGCCAGATGGATCTCTGGGGAAAAAGACCAACAGAAGCACAGTTATCAGAGACAGGGTGGCCTTTTCAGCGTAGAAATTCAAGTCAGAATGTGAATTGAAGGTGAAATTTTCCCTTACGCCACAGAGGTCAAGCCCCAAAGTTGAAAACTGTCTTCTATGGAATTGGCAGTTCAAGTGTCTTTGCGTTAGAAGAGTTCATATTCACAGTGCCCACAATTTGCGAGCAACTCTGACAGCCCGAGGCGAATAAATATGTGTTATGCAGTGGAAGTGTGATTTAGTGACCTAACTGAAACTGGTCTCTTCAAATGGTGTGGGAATGAGTGATTTAGCTAACAGTTCAGCTAACGACTGAGCCTAAGCAAAGAACTCTCCACCACCCTCCTCAGTAGTTTCGTTCTTTATCATCACTTATCAAAAAGCTTTGATTTTGATAACAAATGCTTCTTGGCTAAAAGTGGTTGTTGTGGGTGAGGAGGCATCAAGGGAGAGAAACAATGTCAGGGAAGCTGGGAGTGTTACCTGGGTCTGAGGTGCCACACACACACACACAATCCGAACCACTTGAGCATACATCTCAAAGGTCATAGAATTTAAGGAAAAACTTACATTAATTCATTCAACATATATTTATTCACTTCTGAGGCTGCTATTACCTGTGCAGACCTGTCTATACTCTTAACTTATGTATGCAAAGGTCTTGAGGGGTACCCATCAGGATACAGACATGCATAGGTAAAGCTCCCCATTATTGAGCAGCTTCTGTTTGCAGGGTACTGTTTGTACATAGCCTGATTAAAGATTCATTGCTGCCATTAGGATGGGTGCTGTTACACCTGGTTTACAGATGAGGAAACCGAGGCCCAAAATGTGCAAGTAGCCTATTCAAAGGCATACAAGTGGCCCATCTGGGATCCAGATATTTCATAAAACTCACAACTTTGCTTCTAACATGCTGTGCCAGAAAGTTCTCAGAAGCTTAATTAAATGGTTTGTGGAAAATCAACATTTGATGTACTAAATGTTAGGACAGTCATTTCAGAATCCAGTTTATTTTTGTTCAGCATTTAACTTCTTCATCTATGTGTCAAACCAACTTCTTTGAGGAATGTTTGTAAAATATATAAATAGAACTATATTATTCTTTATAGCAAACAGCTTGGCAGATTTTGTATAAGCCAGAACTGGAAAAAAAAGAGAAATGCAGTAGTTTAAGTTATATACATATGTTATAAATATATATATTTACATATAATAGACTTATATGCCACACATATAATATCTACATCTATGTATATCTACAGATATATGTGTGTTTGTGTGTATCCTTTTATTTCCCCAAGTCCAATAGTATATTTGTATATTTCTATAATTTTTTTTTCCATTTGAGGACAAGTGATCAAGTTTAATACATTTCTTCCCAAGGAATATATAGTTCTGAGATTATTGGCTTCACACTGGAAAAATATATTCCTCTAATATTACCCCTGAGTTCCATGGTCTTTTAACAGTGTGGGGTTTTATAAAAAACAATTCTATTTTGAGAATGTCTGCTTGTGCTCTGTAAGTCAGATTTTTAAATACTGATTCTCTTACTATTCCTTAAATTTTCACCATTACCACAGAAACAATATAGTATATGGATTTCAGATATCTACTGCTTGTAAAATAAATGAAAAAAAGGACTTAAATATATTGAGAAAATGTTATATTCTATAAATTTTGCTATATACTTTCTATATGAATTATCATGTATTTTTCACAAATGAAGGCTGATAAGAAAACATTTTAGAATTGTGGGAAATGAAGGTTATTGGGGAAAATTTCATGTTTACAAAAATTAAATATATTGACTAATAAACACATTATGGTGTAACTTATAACTGGGTGAGGAGGGCGAGGGGGTAAAGGGGCACAGAAATTCTCATTCATAATATAAATTGGTCACGGGGATGGTAGGGCAGCATGGAGAATATAGCCAATGAAGCCAATGATTCTATAACATCTTCCTATGTTGACAGTAACTCTACCAGTTTGGGTGAGGATTTCATAATATGGGTAACTGTTGAACCAATGTGTTGTATACTTGAAATCAATATAAGATTTTAATCAACTATACTTCATACTTCAGTTATAAAAAGTGTCAGACAGATACATCTAATGTTGAGAAAAATCAATGGTAGAGTCAAGAAGGATAACAGTTTTTGAATGACATAAAGATAAGCAGTAATCAGTAAGGAGACACTTAAGAGTGAATAAAGTTTTGAGTAACAATTGCAAAAAATATATGTATATATAATATAATATATATAACTGCATACAATTGCTCATTACTAGATTTAGGTCAAACTAAAAAAGACAACTAGATGTGCAAGACTTCTATGAGCTCACAAATCTAATTGATCTCATGTCTACAGAACACTCATTGACATACTGTGCTTTTTAGCTTGCCAATCAAGTCTCCAAAAAGACTAGCAAATGAGATATGATGCCTTTCCCACACTATTTGAGTCATTTCTTCCTTTTTCTCTTATTCTTTTTTTCCTAATGTGCAAAACCCAATGAGGCTACTGAACTTGGGCTTTCACAACTGCTAATAGTTTATCAGACACTATGATTTGGAATGATAAGCCAACGTGATTCCAATTAACCAACAGTGTTCCTAAATGGTGAGTTAGAGATTAAAGAATTTCACATGAACCTCTTAGCAGCAGATAAACTAGTCACAGAATGACTTGTTTCTAATGTTTCTAAAGTACAGCATACTTGGTATCTCAAGGGCTAAAAATGGGGAGGTAGCTAATTCTGGCAACATTTCCAAGACCCACAAAAGTAAAGACATTTAAAAGCATGAGTGTATCCATTACCATGACATTTCTGCAGATTAACTACACTTAGGGTTATATTCACTTCACTACTCTTATATTTCCTTTTTGCTACTTCTCTTTCTACTTATAATTTATATTATCAAATGACAAATACATTAGATACCTTGGGAAAGAAGCTGAGTATTAACCGATCTTTTAATCAAATAACAGTATAAAATGCGGACTCTCAATTTGGAGGGATTGTAGGTTTTCCTATTTGCGTATTTGATAGGGTTCTTCTGGAGATCAATGAAATAATTCATAAAAAATAAAATGGCACAATTTGGGTAGTGTCATTCATAAGCCTTATTTTTATTTTTAATTAATGAAAAAGAGGTAGTGCTGAGTTCACGTGATAGGGAAGTATGTGACATTGTCAATGATCACAGGAGATACTCACATCAATGTTGTTCAGGGTATTGAAGTGCATCAGATCATGCAGCCTCTTGAATGCTTCATTTGAATATTGAAAATTGAAGGTAGAAAATGGTGATTCAGGGTCATCAAAAATATCAAAATCAGCTATTTCTTTCTCTTCATTAGTCTCTCTTGGAACACCTAAAAATCAGAAGAGACTCAAATGGTATTATTTTGAAAACTACATAATATCTCTAAAACCCAGGGAATAAAACCAGCAGATAGCCATAAACATAATATGGGGAGGGGAGTCCCACCCTGGGGTCATGTAGTCTGCAGTATATACTGTTATGCCCCTACCCATAATTCCTGGGTGAGGATTCCTGTGTTCTGGCTGAGCAATTCCCAATTACCATATTGCATTTCTGTGCCTAAGGGGCTTTCTCTTTCTCTCTGCAACAGCGGAAGACTGCTTCGCTCATTAGGCGGAAATTCTGGTAAATAATGCTTGCCCCAGGCTGCAGTCAACCAAACACTCTAGGGGGTTCAGATACAAACACCCCAGGTCCCTTGCCTCTTTCTGTGTGAGTGGGAAAGATGATTCTGGAGCATAGGTTCTATCCCATTTCCTGGTATTTCCTAGCAGGTGATAATTCAAAATATTTAACAACTCCTATGACAAGGGCACCAGTCAATCAACAGAGACATAATCCCAGGTTATGGAGTAAAGCCCCAGTGAGTTTTCCTGAGATAGTTGTTATCCCTTCAGTTTCTCAGTTGTGAAGAACTTAGAGAGAGGGTACACGGGGTCTCAGGATAGCAGCTATTTATCAGGTAAGGAAGCATTCAAATTGTAATAGCTGGTACAGCAAGTGCCACTATGAGCTAGCTGATGAATATCAGTCTTGCTCCATTAGCAGATTCCTGATTTATGGAACATAACTTATTCCCAACATACCTGGAGCCTTGTACTTCCTGAAGTTGATGTTGGTGAGAACGAAGTGGATGATGGTCGGGCAATCTTTCTCCACATCAGGATTCTTGGGCTTAAACACATAGCATTCCTTCAGCCCTTCTCGATCAAACACGTAAGGATCAATCTTTGGGAAAGGGAGCTTGTTCATTTTAGCCCACTTTTCTGCAAGGAGAAGTTCCTATGGGAAAGGGGGAAAGATTTATTTAGGAACTTTCAGTCTTCATTTGATCAGCTGGTCTGGCCATCATTCAACATGCATGAGGTGTTTACTCTGCAGTAGCAGCATGTTTCCTCGCTAAGATGAGTAATGACTGTTTCAAGAAGCTCATCAATTCCATAAATATATAAAAGTACTCTATAAACAAACACAATTATTATGTTAATCCTTCACGCAGGGCTAGCTCCACAGGAGGCATATAAATTTATTGGTAAGTAGAACTGAATGAAATCATACTGAAGTAATTGGTAGACAAAAAGAGAATATTATGGGTTCTGGGTATTTATAAACCAGGTGAATGGGTTTTTTTTTTTTAACCCTTAGAGGGCAAAGAATCTAAAGAAGCTGAATAAAGAACACTCATTACCGAATTTTTACCTATACCTTCTCTACACAACAAATTAAGGTTAATGAAATTTATGTATGCAAAAATATTTTGATTCAGCATTTTTTGTTTCTATTTATGAAAAGAAGTTGGGCTCTGGCCTCCACATGCCATTATCTGATGCGTAGCGGCCAAGAACGGGCCACAGCGAGGAACCAGTTTTTAACGGGCATGGCAGACTGTGTGGTTATTTCCACATATGAGCTCCTTTCCCATAAGAGGAATCCATACCCCACAGAATGAGAAGACACATGGACAAAGGCACGTGTAATGTGACATGTAACGTGATCAAGAAATACGTTTGCTGTTGGCCACTGAGATTTCAGATTTGTTTCTGCGTCAAGGCTGACACAGCGGGGTAAGTACAAATACACACAGAATGTTACATGCAAACTAGAGATATAAATCAGTATGGAGAGGTGCTGTGAATATGGCTTATTTCTACTTATATGCTGCTTATGGGGGAGTAGGACAGACACGAAGCAGGCTACCACAGTGATAAGAATGCAGACTGTGGGGCCTGTGTGAGCTCTGGAATGACTGGCACATTTCTTAATGTCTCCACACTCAGTGTCCTCATATATAACATAAGGATGACAACAATAATACACATCTCATAAGGTTGCTATTAGAATGGAATAAGTTAATATTTGCACAGTATTTAGAATGGCACCTGTTACATATTACATGCTATACAAATGTTTGGTAAATAAATACCAGTAAGGAGAGGAAAGAGATGGGAGGGGAAGAGTGGGGAAAGATAAGAGGAAAAAGGAAGAGAGAGAAGAATGACATCCAGGAAATTCCTGAAGAGGGGAAGTTTTAGGGAAATGATCATTACAATCTTAAGTTTTTAAACTGTTCTTGTCATCACATCGATTCAATCGATGATAGTTGCTAGTTGCAGATCTAAGCTCCACATGAGATGGTGGGGACATAGCACCGAGTAACACTCTTGTTGTCATGGGATTTAAAGCCTGGTGGGTGAGAGAGTGATCAAACAACCCCTTAGCTTTAAAACTGTGGTAAATGCTTTGAAAATAGCACTTACTCCTCATGAGGTTTGCAGTATACCTGGACTGTTTCCTCAGTGTGTATATTAATCCATTCAGTACTTATTACTGGACATCTGCTATGCTCTAGGCATGACAGAGAGACTGTCCTTCAATCCTTGGAGATTATAAATCAATGGGAGAGAAAAACAATGGATCTTAGAGTGCATTAAGGCAGAGGCAGGGAATGTGCCGGATGGTTTCATGCCTGGGCTGTGCGGCCAGAAAGGCCCAGCTCTAACACAGACCCCTTGCCTTGCTAGCTGGGTGTTGTGAGACAAAGTGCTTAGCCCCACAGCTCAACAGGGAAGAAATTATTTTGTGGGCTGAAGCATGCAGTAATAACAACTCCCTAATAGCACCTTGGGGATAGTAGGTAAGAACAAACGAACGAGTGTGAGGGGCATATATGTGCCGTTTGATTTATTTTTATAAATAGATAGATATTTATTCAATATATACAAACAGGGACCAGGTGTTTCTCCACATCTGAAACAGGAGCTCCCAATTCCACTTTATGTGCATTTCTCCTGTTACTTATTATCTCATCAACTTACTTTCTACCACTGTGAAATAAAGTTAATACTGTTTTCTTCCTGAGAATTACTGTGAGGATGAAATGAGATAATGTATTTTTTAACTCAGTAATTTGTATTTTAAAAAAACAATTATTCTAAAATAGCACCTTAAACTGAGAGAAAAATATACTTTTCACGGAACTCTCATTGTTCTTGATGCTTCTGGAATATTGTGAATTTCAACTTGATCAACCTGGGAGAACACAGGATTCAAGGTATGTTAAAAGCATCTGTTCCACAAATTATTAAGCTAAATATGATTATGCTTCACTGAATATCCTACATATGTATGAATAATTTCTTGTTTGAAACTTGAGGAGCCTTATCACTAACTCCCTTCACCCACTCAACTCCTGTTCAGTTGAATTACTCAGCTTGTAATTTCTTGTCTAGCACTGTTCACAATTATTCATTCAAGATTATTCAACATCAAAATAAAACCAAAAGTCCACACTGTAAATCAATTGTGTGGAACAAGGAGAAAAGAGCTTTCTAGTGTTTACAAACATGACTCAAGAGGGTGACCGATGATGCGTGGATGCGTGGAGAGAGAGGAAAAGGGAATTGCATGCGATAGAAGACCGAGCTATTTTTAGAGATACAGCATGCTGAAATCAGGAAGCGATGCAAACTTTCCCTTTCCTTATATGATCCTGATGTGGAAAAGATTAAAAATAGATGACTGTGGAGACTGATTACAGGATGGAAAAACCACCTCCCCTCTCATGTCTCATTTCTCTGTTTGTAGAGACTGAGCAACGGTGGCACAGTCTGGTAGAAGAGCAGATGAGTTTGAAAGAGCATTTTAGAAGAATTCAGTGAGCAAAAAAATCGCTGCTCCATAAATGATAGCAATATGCCAGCAATGTGCTCTAGTCTAACTATCCATTTTGGCTGCTGTTTGATGCCTCAGATACATGAGATTTCCAGGCTAATTCACGGTAAATGCATATAGTACTAATTGAAAGGATTTTCGGTGGAGATAAAAATTTGACAGTTGCTTCTAAGCTATATTTTGTTAAGGCGTTTTTTGGTCATTTTTGAGAAGTAAAACATCTTGAGGGATAGGAAAAACAATCTAAATAATATATAATATAGAAATATATTTAGACTTTAATGTGAGTGGCATATGTGTGCTGTTTGATTTATTTTTATATGTAGATAGATATTTACTGAATATATACAAATACATTGATACATATAACAAAAGAGCTATTCTCTGGATTAAATGAATGTTTTCTTTGTACAAACCTATATATATGCTTTCTAAGGTGTTTCTCAGTATTTAAAACCTATCTTTTAGGTTGGGGAGAGGTGTGGAGTATAAACAGATATGTAAATAAATTGATGGAATATTAAAAAGTCATGGAAGCAAAATTCAAGATATAATTCATAGAAATTATAATTTAGAATTTATTTTTTGAGGCTATGTTTATCATCACTTCCAATAAGAACCATGCTGGCATTAGGACCCAAGGCCTTTATAATTCAATAGGCATAAAAATAATTTTCCATGTCTAATAGTGTATGGAATTTTCATAGCACTTTGCAGTTCTTATTAATTCTTCACTAAGAGGTTACTGTAAATTCACAAGAATATGGAAGGAGAAATTGATGTTGATTATGTCTACTCATCAGAAGACATCTGATCCTCAATGACCAAAACAGGTGTAGCAGGTTGAATGGCAGCCCTCCAAGGACAGGTCTGTGCCCTAACCCCTCAAGGACCTCTGAATATAACCTTATTTTGAAAGGGGTTTTTGTAAATTCAATTACATTAAGGATGTGAAGGTGAGAACATCGTGGATGATTTGGGTCCATCCAACGACAGATGTCCTTGTAAGAAGATGTGCACACCAAGGAGACGACACGAAGAGAGAGGCTGAGGCTGGAATTATGCAGCCACCAGCCAGGAAAAGCCTGGAGCTACAAGAAGGTGGAAAAGGTAAGGGAGAATCTGAGAGCCTTTGCAGGAAGTGTGGCCCTAGGGACACCTTGGTCTTGACATCTGGCCTCTGGAACTCTGAGAAAATCCATTTCTGCTTTAAGCCACCATGTTTGTGGTGATTTGTTATGGCAGCCTCAGGGAACGGATGCAAGAGGTAAGTCTAGAAATGCTACGTTTGGTAACACGGAGCTCCCTTCATTGGCCGTGGTGAGTCGATGCCCCCAAAGCTAACACTCGGACCACTTTGGCCATGACGGTGTGACCCAGCTTAAAAGTCAGAAGTAAATTCTATGCAGAGGTTCTAAAATGAGGATCGTGCCCTAATGTTGACAAATAAATTAGGTTTGTGTGGAAAAATACACATTCTTTCTCTGTTATTTGTGAGTTTAAATGGACTTTTGACCTGGAGTGAAATACAGAAAGATAAAGTTCATTTAGATGGGTTACTTCTATCATTTTTGAAAAACAGGCTCATTTCAAATTTTCCCTCCTTCTTTCCTCCTTTCCTCCTTCCTTCACTGCCTTCTGTTCTTTTCTTCTTTCCTCATTCTTTTCATTTTATGTATGTTGCTGAGTTATGGGTGGCATGTAGTATTATATTAGTTTCAAGTTTACAACACAAAGATTTGATATTTTTTATATATTATGAAATGATCACCTTCATAGGTCCAGTTCTGAACCCTCTGTCACTATGAAAAGTTATTACAACATTGACTATATTCCCTGTGCTGTACATTACAACCCTGTGACTGACTTATTTTATAATTGGAAGTTTGTCTCTTAACCCCCTTCACCTGTATCACCTGCCTCCTCCACCCCTTCTCTGATAGCCATTCTTTCTTTCCTTTTATTTTTAATAGAATGAACCCATTGCTCTGACTTATGAGCATTAAGCATTTAAAAGAGAACTAAAAAACTAAGCTGGATTTATGTCCAATATATGGCAATACAATATAAAATAACATAATTTATGGCAATAATAACTCTATTACTCACCA